TTGGAGGAGCTGTGAATAACAGCCGTGACCGATGCCATCCCTCCTGTGTCCTGTCAGAACCCTTGCTGTGGTTCATCTTGAAGGTGCTTGCTCCTGAAGAAGCCCTGAAATCTTTCCATGAAATGGGTAAGACAGTTCGGAGACAATTTTTCAATTTATTTTGGTTTTCAGAAAAAGTCAATCTGTGACTTTCAAGATATACCCCTACAGTCTTGAACTGTGCATTTTTAGGACGATTTTATTTGATCTGAATTTTATCTGATCTGGTTTGCGCATGTGCTAGGTATGAACCAGCCTTGAGGGGCTATGTTAAGTCTTAAAGGCTCATTCATAACTACTCCACCATCAGATAAAGCCGGTAACTTAGCTTTTGTGATGTTCTGCACTAAGAGGCACCACCAGTAACGTTAATTGACGACAAGGAATCGATATCTCTGAACTGCAGGTGGCATTCAGCTGATCTGTCGCAACCTGGTTGCCAGCAATCGCTCCTTCATAGACAGCTCTCCCAGTAGCATCTCGGCCATCATGCAGCATCTTGGGGCGTCGCTAAGGAACTCTTCAACCGCATCTCGGTGGAGTAAGACTACCAGCTCCTCCTCAGCAGCGACAGCTGCAGACACAGAGACCACGGAAGGACTGACGAATTTTGCACCGTTTGGTAAGCCCATTGTGTATGTTTACCCCCAGTTAGAAACAATTGTCGGATATAATGCCAGATGATATGTAAATAAGCCGGGATTTCCTGTGTTGTAACATGGAGAACAGTTAGATATGTCCTGGTGATTTTTGTATATATTGCCATGTGATGTCTGCATGTTTGTCCCTTGATTGAGTGATACCCTTTGAGGTTGTACTTAGAGAATCATACTAGTTCATGAATGTTGTGCACATGTTGAGCTCTCACGTGGCATACAGGCTTTGTAGCAAATACCACTTCACAGCTTTTGTCTCAGAGTTTGAAAAAAAAGCAGTGATGTTGTTAGAAAATGTTGCACAAATCTTGAACATACGACCACCTAGGGACAACATGTGCAGTGTCCAGGTTTACAAAGGACTGTTTGTGGGTGCATTATCTTGTGGTTTCAAAGATTTGGTATTTTCAGCCAACAATAGCACCGCAAAGTGGGACAAAGTGCAATGTAGAATAACACTGTTGGGAAAAAGACTGTAACCCTCCTATGCTGAAGTCACTCTTTGGGTCACTTGGTAAACACCTCAAAGAAGCACAGCTGTGTTGTGTTGTGCACTGCACCAACAGTCCCTCACAGGAATATCAGATTGCACTTTTGTGCTGTCCAACAGCTGTGCTTCACTGTTTCATGTGCATAATTGTGGAGTAAACCAAATGCAGNTCGGAGGAGCTGTGAATAACAGCCGTGACCGATGCCATCCCTCCTGTGTCCTGTCAGAACCCTTGCTGTGGTTCATCTTGAAGGTGCTTGCTCCTGAAGAAGCCCTGAAATCTTTCCACGAAATGGGTAAGACAGTTCGGAGACAATTTTTCAATTTATTTTGGTATTCAGAAAAAGTCAATCTGTGACTTTCAAGATGTACCTCTACAGTCTTGAACTGTGCAATTTCAGGACATTTTTATTTGATCTGAAGTCAAAAAAGTTGTGTTCTGGTTTGATAATGTGCTAGGTGTGAACCAGCCTTGAGGGGTTGTGCTAAGCCTTAAAGGCTCATTCATAACTACTCCACCATCAGCTGAAGCCGGTAACTTAGCTTTTGTGATGTTCTGCACTAAGAGGCACCACCAGTAACGTTAATTGATGACAAGGAATCGATATCTCTGAACTGTAGGTGGCATTCAGCTGATCTGTCGCAACCTGGTTGCCAGCAATCGCTCCTTCATAGACAGCTCTCCCAGTAGCATCTCGGCCATCATGCAGCATCTTGGGGCGTCGCTAAGGAACTCTTCAACCGCATCTCGGTGGAGTAAGACTACCAGCTCCTCCTCAGCAGCGACAGCTGCAGACACAGAGACCACGGAAGGACTGACGAATTTTGCACCATTTGGTAAGCCCATTGTGTATGTTTACCCCCAGTTAGAAACAATTGTCGGATATAATGCCAGATGATATGTAAATAAGCTGGGATTTCCTGTGTTGTAACATGGAGAACAGTTAGATATGTCCTGGTGATTTTTGTATATATTGCCATGTGATGTCTGTATGTTTGTCTCTGGATTGAGTGATACCCTTTGAGTTTGTACTTACAAAATCATACTAGTTCATGAATGTTGAGCACATGTTGAGCCCTCACGTGGCATTTGAAACAATCAGGAGAAATTTAAATGGGAAGAGCTTGCAATGAGCACCGGTTCTTTTTTTAATTTCTGAACCTGGAATGTTGATTTCCCATTTCCCTTCAGGTGCCATCAACTCCAGCAGTCCTACTGCCCAGCCAGCCGAGGTTCTACTCCAACCCACAGCTCCCCATCGGAGGGCTCGCTCAGCAGCCTGGTCCTATCACTTCTACCCTGAAGAGAACTGGTGCGACCTAACCATCTCCCTACCCAGCGCCGTCCTTCTCAAAGAAGTGCATATACAGCCCCATCTCACCTCCCTAGCAAGTAAGTGTTTAGGCAACTGCATTCATGTTTCTGTTTCCTTAGCTCAGAATTGCGTTTTGAAACAGTCATTTCAGAACTTAGAGAAATTTATATCATTCTTTTTTAAAGAGTTGTGTCACTGCAGTAATGTTAGATCCTTACAGTGTTTTCCAAGAAAGCTGTATTCACAAGATTTGCTTAAGAATAAATTAAGTGGGAAAAATTGCAACATTGATTGATATGACTTGTGAATAAAGGATGTTACTGATTAAAGCAGTTTTGAAGTTAACCAAAGTTTTTGAAAGTGCTAGCCGAAGTTAGTTTCACAAAGAGCCTTCTAGTACTCAAGTTACTGTTTATTAAAGGGTCCAGGAGATGACATTGAATCACTAAGGAAATGGATGTAGCTGATTATTAGGACATTCAGCGTGAAAACCAAAAAGATGCTCAAATACCTGTTTCTTTCAGCAAAACAAAAATCGAAAAAATAGGATTAATTGAAACACAAAGCTACATTTCCAAAGGTTGTGAAAAAATGGCATAAATCATGTAAATCTGATAATGTATGTTTGTATGTTGTAGCCTGCCCTTCTGCCATCTCCCTTGAGATCAGCAACGCTCTGGGCTCTTCTGCTGTCCCACTCAGCCCTCCCTTCCCGACCACGGGGCTCACCAACATCAAGCTACAGCTGCCCCAGCCCCAGGTGGCCACGTCCGTCTGCCTCCGCCTGCATCGCCCCTTGGACTCCAGCACCATTGGCCTGTCACAGATCATGCTGCTGGGGACGGCAGCATTCAGCGGAGGAGGACGGGAGGATGGGACAGGAACCTCCCACCATCTCCTGGCCTCAGGAGAGGATCACCCGACAAAGATGAGGTACATTAATAGTACCGTTGGTAATGATTGCCTTGGACTAGTTATTTAATTGCTTCTTAATAAAGAGTGGACAGACATGGCAAAGTACTGGCAAGGACTTTTTTCACCAATAACCCATTCACACTCTGTGACTGGTTTTGTTGATGTAAAGTAAGTCATTTACGGAAATACACTCACAACATTTGTTAAATATCATCACTGATGTCAAATACAGAAAACAAACACAAGTTGCAATGAAACAATCTCTAAACAAAAATTAGAAGCGAATTCAGAAAGAGTTTCAAGAGGAAAGCAAGTGGCCCTGTTTACAAAAATTACCAAAAAAAGTCTGTACTGCCGTAGAACTAAGAGTTCAGCTTATCTAGAGTTCTACTAAGAACAGCATGAGTTTGAGCAAAAGAGCAAAAAGCTTTGCAATTGTGTTGATGGGATTTTCTGACAGTTTTGCTGTCCAACCTAAGCCTTATTTCAGCAGTAGCCAACAATTGGGAGATTCTGCTGAATTAATCTTTTTAATTGTATTGAACCCTCAGAGTGAATGGATTTTGTAAAGGTTGGAGCCCAAATGCCAAGTGTAAGATTTGATTAAGTGGTTGTACTGTGGAAAGTTTTTTTACAGCTTTTGGCTATAGTTATGGCACATTAGACTGGTTACTGTCTTACTTCTGTTGCATTTGTCTGTAGCATTGGAAATAGGAACCGTACCAGGCTTTTATGAATGGATCTGAGACTTTTTCCCTTCCCTTTGCCATAACTACAACAATTATTTTTATACTAGGTTTTACCCTCACACTGATATAGTCACACTGTATTTTTAGTGTGTTCTGAGAGAAACAATAAAAAAGCTTGCTCTGGTGGGATGTGAACCCACGATTTCCTGCCTACTAGTGCAGATGTCTTAACCACTTGACCACCAAAAATGCCAGGATTGGCTGGCTCAAGTCTAATGCAGCAGTGGGTACGGGAAGCAATCCATGACATCAGTTTGACCTTGTGTCAGGAATACATAAGGCGAAAACCCAGTGTACAATGAACATCTCCCGGACGCAAAGTCAGATTGGTATAGCTACGGCATGTGTTTGTTTTTCTCATTAGCATGAGGTGGCTTCGTCTACTGCACCAATGCCTGATCCAGTCACCTCTCTTGGAAGTTGCCATAGCCACCACAGCCTCAGGGATGCCTTCCCTCCTGACCACCTGTACCTCCTTGCTGCTATCCCCACACTGTCAGGAGCACGCCGCCAGCATTGAGGCTGTCCTGCTCAAGCTAGGGCTGTGCAGCACGGAGGTGGGACTGTCGCTCTTTGACGTGGTGCTCAGGAACATCTACGGTGGCAGTGAAGGAGGTGAGTCCGTATGGCAGGTGTGCCCTGCAGCTAATTCAGACGTGTACTGAGCAAAGAAGTCGCTCTTTCAATCACTGTGTACAGATTGATGTGGATTTCCTGTGTGGTAACACGGAGGATATCTGTACACTGTCTGGGAAATTCTGTATGCAGTGCTGGATGATGACTGTCGCTCTTTTTTCTCAGTTTTCAAAATATGCACTCACTAAATAGCGTCACACCTTTGTAATTTCTAGCTAACATGTTTTGTTGAGTCCCACAAATACAGGAATTCCACTTGAATATAATATTCTTCCATCTACCTTTATAGATAATGGAGCACCGTTGATGGGTCGTAAAGCAGATGCCTCAACTGAATCGACTGTGGATATCATCTACCAACTGGGAACCACTTTAGATCAGGGCACCAGGGAAAGGTATGCAATTCAGTTTTTGTTCAAATATACTGTCATTTTGTTTCTAATAACCGCAAGTTCTCTGCAGCAAAATATCATCCAAAGTTTCAAATCAAATGAAATTATTTCAAATGTATAACTCTGTCTCTCATGTGAAACAAATTTGGGTTGTAAATTGTGACCTTTGAACTTATTTTGGCAGAGTGCAAGCCCTGCTAGCCTGGTTAGGTGACACGGCTCGCGTTCACCTGCACAAGAACAGCAGCTTCCCCCGCAGCCCCCTGACCTTCTCCCCCACTGAGGTCAGCCTCCTCAACCCCGCCCCTGCCCACATCCTGGGCGTGGCGTCCATCCTGTGGGCCAGCCACGACATGAGGGTGCCCTACCGGGTGGGGAGCCTGATTCCCAAGGAGTTGTTTAGGTGAGATGTCTTACTGTATGCACCTGTATTGTGAAATTCCTTAGACTTTGATCTTGCTGTTTTCTATCACGTATTTGCTTCCTTCTAAGACCACCAAAACATTTGTCTTTGCAAGCTATCAGGAGCAATAAGATTGAAATATGAGAGCATGTTGCAGAAAAGGTTATTGAAGTTATTATCTGCTCTGAGTAGAACAAAAGAGGGCATGTTTTTTATACTCACCAAGTGAGTCACCGAGGTTTTTCTAGTGTATGCGCGTTGGCTGCAGAGCATACCGAGTAAGCGTAACTAATTTCTTCTGGCTTGTATGGTCTTTCAGTCCATGCAGAACGCATGCAAGAACCCGCTTGTAACCACCTGTCTTTCTTTCGCCGAGTGGGGGTGCACTTTAGCTCAGGGGGCATAGAGTTGAACAAAAAACTTATACCCAGCAAGAAATGAGACCGAGGGGTACCCCCCAACATGTCCAATCCCTATACACATTCCAGACTATTGTTACTTAACACATCGCCCAAGATGTCTGAAAGGAATTCCCCAGATTCCTGCGAGACAATGACCAACACAAAGCGTGGGGGGTTCTCTCCGTCTCATACCTTGCTGCATATGAAAAAACTGATTGCCCTTGTTATGAGTCTGCTACGTCTTCAATATTGCACTAGCACTCTCTAATCTAAGCTGTACAGCCCCATGTTTACAACGGCTGCAATTTACCAATAAAACTGTTGACATGGACCAGAAGTGCCAGATGGTAGCTGATGGCTAAGCATCCTACACCTAGTTGTTACTCTGGCTGTAGAGACAAATTCTCTCAGTTAACTCAATGAACTTTAAAGCAGTGTCCAGGGAAATCTTGTTCCGTTGTTCAAGCTGCAGATATTCCGAATTTCCTCAAAAGAGACTTTGTTTACCAGAGGCAAAGAAAGCATCAGCATATTGTTACAATTATCCATAACACCCATGCTCTCAGGAGCCCAAAAATGGAATTTAGATGGATGGTATAAAAGGGAGAGACTTTAGAGACAGACCATTTTTTATATGGAGTGGATCCCTTTTTGCAAACAAATTCTGCAGGCTGGTTATTAGGCGGAATTATACATTAGGATTGGAGTTTTCAAATAGTAATTAACGAGGCTGCATCTGTGTGATTGGTCCTGCTAGCTCCCTCTATGAGTGGTCGGTGGTCCTACCCTTGGATTCCCCTCTCAAACAAGCAACAGGCTTCGTCCTGTGTGCCATGTGCCACATCCATCCGTCTTTCTACGTAGCCATGCTGTCCTGGATGGGTATCATCAACACCGAGGAGGAGATGGAAGTGGATGAGCTCCTCACAGGTAGGTGTCAGGGGTCAAGGGTCGACAATCAAGCGCAGCGTTGGGGCAGTGTCCGAATATCTTATCGTCAGGTATCCTTTGAAGATGCCTGATGGAATTTTAGAGGCTGTGGCATTTTCTGAGACTGCGTTTGTAATAACTGAAAAGGTTATTCGTGTTAGAAATCCAACTGGTTGATGCTTAATGAGGCAGAGGATCAAAGGGAGAAGAAGTTAGATCCAACTCTGTCAATTTTGTTGCTTTTCTGTATAATAAGTTCTCGGGAAAAAGTGAGTGATTGTTCAGAGAGTTGAGCATTATTATTATATGTTACCTCTTTGGGTGTGCAGTGAACCAGTTAAGCTCAGTATGATTAACTTCAAATGTTTATTTTGTTTACCAATTTCTCTATGAAGATGACAGTAAAGATGCTCAGGAGCATGGTCAGAGTCTGACAGACGACACCAAGGAAGCCAGTCGGCAGTCGCCAAGCCGTCCAGTGCACATCAACATGCTGGATCAACTCCACCTAGCCACCCTGGCTCTGGCCTCTCAGTCACCAGCCGCTACCCGAATCCTCCTGGAGTCCAACTTTCCCAGAATGCTGGCCAATGCCCTGATGGACTTCTGCAACTACGAGATCTACCGCAGTCGGCAGGGATCGGCGGAGGATGGCTCAGCTTGGCAAACCGACTCGTACAAGCTGATTGAGGGGCAGGGACTGTCATCGCCGCGGACATACAGCACAGGCAGCTCTGATGGAAGCACGGTGTCTGTGATCCATATCACATCGGACAAGATTGCCCCAATCCTGGACCTGTTCACAGAGCTGAGCAGCCAGCTGGTGATGAAAGACTGGCTTGGGGGACCGGAGGGTAGTGTCTTCTGGTCCTCATTGCTCATGCTGCTTTGTAGTGTCAGCTCCAACGTAGTGCAGCCCAACACCCCGCCCGCCAACACCCATACCCACAAGGCCGCAGTGATGACTGTGCCGCAGAGGGCCACCGTCGAGTCATCCACCATCGCCTTCTTCTCCCGCGTCATCTCCTGCCACCCAGCCAACCAGCGGCTCCTGGCGCAAGTTGTGTGCGAGGTGGCCTGCAGTCGCAACAGTCAGGCCGGTGTTCGCCTGGCCATCTCAGGCTTCACCCGTCGCCTCATCTTACAGCTCATGCTGGAGGATGAGAGGATCCTAGTGTACATCCAAGGGACGTGTCGACTTTATAAAGGAAGGAGCAAGGCAGCCGATGGCGGAGCCTCACACCCACAGTTTGGTGTTGGGCACAAGTTCAGGGTGATGGAACCAAAGATGACAGCTACTGTTGGCACGCTAGTCACCGACGTCTGCGGTAGGTATTAAGCTTACTATTCATGGTAACTCCCTTAGCTACCCATATTCCTCATCGTCCAAGTCAAAAGCACAATAAATGAGGCATAGATGGGGGAAGATCATCAGATGGCAAAAGGTTTGCAATGCCTGAGCATCGTCGATGGTCTCTTACTTGTTATTTCCATTGTGTAGCTTTTTTAAGTGCATTCTTTTTAAGCAAGGATGCCTTGTGCACATTCTGGTGAAAATTCATCACATGCACTCAGCAGGCACAAACCAGTCCAGCCCAGCGGGTCATCATAGAATCTGAAGGTGTGTAACTCAAGCTAGTTTAATGTATAACGGTTTGCCCGTACCCAACGTATATTAATAAGCACTGTGTGCTATATACGTTGGGTACGGGCAAACCGTTATATATAATTAACATCTCCCCAACGCAAAAAAAAAAAAAAATACATCTTGGAAAAAAAAAAAATACATCTTGAAAAAAAAAAAAAAATACATCTTGAAAAAATACATCTTGAAAAATCAAGCTAGTTTGCCCGTCGGTATAGGATCCCACAGTGCATTGCGAGACTGAGAATTTTTCAGACACCTGATGAGCAAAGTGTTTGATCCCTCCACCTCAGATGCTCTGTCATTGGTGAAGAACAACACATCGCTACCCAAGGATGCCAAGGCAAAGACAGACAAGTCCAAGAGGGAAGAACCATTCGTCCTGATAGATTACCTGCCAGGCAAGAAGGAGTTACTGGAGTCTGAACAGTACATCAATTATGCCGCACACCAAGGTAACTGTTTATGACTAGTCATACAGTCTGGAGGTGGTCACCATGATGACCACTTTGAAAGAGTGAAGTAAGTTAAGTGATTTCAATAGTAGAGATGGTCATGATGTGTTTTTTTCCTCAGGTTTTTATTTTCATTGAAGGTTTTCTAAATATCCTGTCTTTTGATTAGTTCTTGGCTTTAGTCTGTCATTGTGTCTAAATTACATGTCAATTGCAAGACATAATGCATACTTATGGGCACATTTGCATGTTACATATGTGCATTTTATTGATTGTATCAGTAATACATTCATGGAATTCTGCTTCTTTTGTTTGAATTCACAGGAACCAAACTCCCAAAGCCTCCTCTTCCATTTACGTCTTTTGATGTGGACAAAGAGATGAATTCCATCTCGTTCTCTGCTTTCTCATCCTCGACCCTTGCCCCCTCCTCGCGACCCATCTCAAGCCATGCCTACTCTAAGGCCCCGTCCGCCGCGGCCGGCCAAGCCTCATCCTCCAAGCCGGCCCCCAAAGACCCTATGCAAGTACCCGTGGTGACCCTGGCCCACCACCTCCTGCCAGGGGTCAGCCTGCCGGAAGGGCTAGCACTGGGCCAACTACTGGCCGTCCTGCAAGGCAAAGGGTTCCCTCTGGGGTCACCATACTTGGAGCTGAGGTTAAATGTTAGGATGCAAGAGATTGGTGCAACATCCAAGACCGATAGCTCCAAGAGCAGGGAAGCAAAGGAAGGTAACCACACATCTCAGTATGTTGACCTTTCTCTAGAAGGGATGAATTATGCTAAAGACCATTCCAATGAGAATAATGCTGGTTCGTATCAGGAACACTCAGTGTACCCTCGTACAGTCGTTTCACACTCGTCACAAAAGTCAACATGGACGGAATTATTGTGACGGGGGGGAACACATCAACCCTGTTGAATTTTTCTTGAATGTGTGACAGTAACTTGGAAGCAACGAGCTTTTCATTGGAATATCGCAAAGTCCCACCAGGAACAGACCGTGTTTGATAAAAGAGCATCTCAGTTGGAACAGGAATGATTCAACTTTTAAGACATTCCTTATCAGTAATTTTTGTTCGCCTGTGACAGTTTCTTCTCAGAATGATGGAGTCAGATTTTAAATGAGAGAGTTGGAAATCTATTGCAAGGACCAATTTTCAAATGGATTAACCCTAACCCCCCAGGGTGTATGTAAAATCGTATTGAAATTGGAAGATTTGGGAGTGTTACGGTTAAGGTATTTTTTCTGGTGTAGTTCCGTTTGCCATGTTTGGGAATTAAGGTCACTTTTTATTTTGCGTCATCCCAGCAGCAACAAAGAATGGTGCGTCAGCGTCAGCCCCACCAACCACCTCAGGACTCCCCAGCACAGTGGAAAAAGGCAACCCCTCTGACCAGTCAGTGCTGCTGGACTCGCCACCCATGCCCTCCTTCCTGCATGTCTTTGCCAGCCTAGGGGGCCTGGCACTGATTGCTGAGCACTTACCCATTGTGTACCACGACATCCCCAGGCAGGCTGCAGGGACCACTTCACGCCATTCAGAGAAGAACGAGGAAGGAGGAATGATGGCATGGCACTCTAGCACACCAGAGCATTGGGGATCAGCAGCTCAGGGCATTGTTGAAGAAGAAGATGTAAGTCACACAGAGAAGCGGTTTTCTATCACCGTTTCTTTACAGTGGATGTGATTTCTCTGGATTTTTCCGATTTCAATATTTGTGCCCCCCGGTAGTTGTTGATTTTTAGATGTTTAGCCGTTCAGATCGTGTTGTTTTTTGGGCTCTGTTTTACTAAAAGAAACTAACAGACCAAGTGCAAGATTCACATAATCAGCCATTTTGAGTGGATTTATGCCTTGTTAGCAATTAAAAGACCTCGAAAGTCATACTACTTTACTGTAGCTGTTGTTATGACCACTCAGCTATATGCTTCTTGGATTTCTCATCATCTCCCAACTTTAGTCCAAAAATAAGAAACCTGTCTTTTTTTTCAATTCCATTCCTTTTCATCCTGTTTTGTTGTAGGAAACCCTCCTGAAGATTTCTAAATTCTGTTACATAAGCATTCGTGAAGCACTTATGACATGAATGGCATGCATCACTCTTGAAGGGTCTTGTCGTTGTCTTAAAGGTGTCTTGATAACAACATGTGGTCATTCCATGTTTTTGCGCCCAGCAATCCAAAGACGATCCTTTTGAAATTTTGGTTGGAAAGTAGTGTTCTTTCCTTTTTGTAAAGTTTATGCAAGGACTTTTTTTTTGAAGATGGGAAGGAGGTTGAGCAGATCTCTAGGATAATTTCTGATTAAAGAATATTGGATGTGGATTTTGTAAGCTTTCAATGAACAAGAATATTTCCATTATCATTTAGTAGCCAACTTGCTTTCTATTGTCTTCTCAACTGAAGTTCATGAATTTCAACATAGGTTTGATTCTCATAATACAAGGAATTGCAAACTGCCTCATTTTCTGCTGAAATTGTCAATAATTCATAGAGATGCTTGTGATACAAAATACATTGCTGTGTTCACTTGTTTGGCACCGTTTTAAATTCTACGCATTGTGACGGTGTATCCCAGAGCTGTAATATTGTATTGAATCAAAGAAAATAACGTCTTGGGTCATTTTTTTTTTTCAAAGCCGGCATTTTCACATACAGGCATGGAGCCGCCTGCTCCCAGCGGACTGTCCAGCTCGACTACGCCAGCGTCCCACGGCCCAGTCAATAGCACCGCGGTCATACCGCCTCACTCCCTGGCTGCCTTTGGTCTCTTTCTGCGTCTCCCCGGCTACGCTGAGGTCCTGTTGAGGGAGCAGAAGAAGGCGCAGTTCCTGCTGAGACTGGTGCTCGGGGTGACGGACGATGGAGATGGAGGTCTGCTAAACCCAAGATTCCTTGTTTTGCACTGTTTCTTGAAAGCGTTCGTTTAGTCCCCCAAGCTACATTTAATGATTAGCACATCTGAAGAGATTAAGGGTTAATAAAATAAAGTGTATCAAGTGCATAAGCCTAAATGAAATTTTGGAATATTTGTAATGAGTTTTTCTGTACCAATTATTAAAGTGACCCAAAATATTTCAGTGACACTGAAAATGACTCTAGATATTTCTTATGAAACTTAACATGAAGTTAAATGTTTTGCGTATGTATAATTGATCCTTAATATTTTGTTGAGTCTAAAAAGTGACCCTTCATTTTTGCTGAATCAAAATTGATTATACATGTTTCGGTGAAGTTATAAAGTGAGCCATAAAAAAAATGAAATTGAAAAGTGACCTTATATATTTTGCTGAAGCTCCTCAAACATTTCCTCATTGATAGTTTGTAGAGTCTTGCTTTCCCCTCTCTCTCTGCAGGTCACATCCTGTCATCCCCAGTGGCTTCATCTCTGCCCACCCTTCCGTTCACCGTTCTGGTCACCTTGTTTGACAGTACTCCCCTGACCACTGACGATGGCGTGCTACTACGCCGGCGAACACTGGAGATTGGAGCTGTTCATTTGCTGTTGGCCTTCTTGGCGATCCTGAGCCATCATGGGCCCAGGGTCAGTACTAAGGCATCTGCACAAGAGGTTTGTTCTCACTGACGTTGTTTATCAGTGTTGGAGTCAAGCACTTCTAGTACATACAGTTTCTTCAAAAGTACTCACGAGTTTTCACTAGAACTCACAAGTCTTCGCTAGAACTCAAGCCTTCACAAGTCCTCACAAGTACCCCAGTTTCAGTGTAAGCCATAAGCTATTAATTAAGAAGTGCTTGACTGTAGAACTGTTATGTACAGTCATCATTGTCCCCAGGACTCGGAGGGAGTGGAAAAAACTACAAAAATTACAAGTAACATAATATCATGATCAGTGTTTGATGTGTGACAATGGATCTTGCTGGTGTTGGAATCGCAGTAACTGTCTTTTGGAGAACTATGAGATAAATCCTTTTTTAAAGGGAGGACCAAAAGTCAAACTATGGCTTGTATATAGGTTGTGTACATTTCAAAATTTCACGGGGGTAGGAACTTCTGTAATTACGCCACTGGACCCAGCTGAGATTTTAACTGAAAAGTGCCTGATTTTTTTTTTATACCAAAAAAGTCTTTTTCAAAGCCTTAAAGCTCTTACTTATACATGGGTTGTTCAGTTGATTGTGTATTTCATTGCAAGAAACAAATTGTGTTTCTGCAGTGGAACAGCCCCCAAGGCAGTCAAGGCTCCGCCCCTCCGCCTACTACTGAGCAAAAGAATCAGTCATACTGGGCCAAGGGCACAGGGTTTGGGACGGGGTCAACGACCTCTGGATGGAACGTGGAACAAGCATTGAACAAGCAGAAGGCGGAAGAGGAGCATGCCACGTGTCTGCTACTGGTGAGACATAAGATGGATTTTAAGAGCGTAAAATAGAAAAGTAGATACGAAATGTAACTGTGACATCAGGAAAGAAGGTGTTCATGAGTTAACTGAACATGTGGTCATAGATGCTGATTAAGAATTCTGCAAGATCCATTCCATTTGGTATTGAGATACACTCAGATTGCCCCATGCTCCGAACATTCTGGGTTAGAAGCAAGTGGACCACCATTAGCATGTACATTTTTTTGCTGTGTTGTTTCCAGTTGGAACTGATAGTTCAAGACCGGTAAAGTGCCTACCAGAATATGTTAAAGGTTTTGAGCTTTGAGAGAACTGATATTGAGTAATGTGCACTTGGAGCAGGGTTGTGAAAATCTGTTCAAGATGTATATGTGGGTAAAAGATAGATATGAACTAACTATTTGATAGATAGGTTTGATTTTACAAACTACAGGTTGACTGGTTCCGATGACTCAGTATCAGATTGTGTACAATATCTGAGTGGATTCCTGTCATGTGATTGGTTAAGCTTTAATCACATGACATTAAAGTATTCATCCCATTGCAAATGCACAGCATTCCCACAACACAAAAATAGAACATTGAGGTGCACAGTACACAGTAAAAACAACTTCCTAATCCATAAACCTTATGGACTTGTAGGCGAAGCAGGCATTTATCCAGGTGGGTTTATTTAGGCACTGTATAATACAAGTAATAAATGATTCACAGTTTTGCAGTGGAGAGGAATGAGGTGGCAGATGAATGGCATTCCATTCAGCGTCTGCTTCATGAAAGGATTATTTTATCCGTCATCTTTTGAAATTCTTTTTGTAACACACAGAAACACGAATCATTTGTATAATAAGAGAAAGCATTTCTATCAATTCACCCATGAACTGTAACTCTTTGTCGTTTACAGGTGTTGTCTAGCTTTATAAGTCCTAACCCCCACCGGATTAGTGACCCTTTGACCTCCCAGAAGGATGCCTCTGGCGACGTTAGCGTGGAGCAGCTCAGCAGCATCTTCCCAGAGGTCTTTGTCGAGTTGCTTAGCAACTCCTGCCTCATCCCGGCCATTTCCTCCTACCTGAGGAATGATTCAGGTTAGATAAAACTTTCCAATGTCTTTCTTGATCTCTCCAACCCCAGCTCTCCCCCCTGCAATCATGCCAAATAATCTGTCATTTGTTCTCAGTTACACAGCCACCTTGTTTGACTTGACTTTTGTAGTCTCAATCACAAAATTGGCATACGATTTGGAACATTCAAGTGTATGCGCAGTTCTTACTTTAAACAGATACATTCCAAATGAATTGGCATTTGATTTTCATGCAGGGATAAACCATCTTTTGTCTTCAGATAATTGACGAAAGTTAACTTCCCTCAGTTTGGCAAGACACCTTGTGCATGCACATACTCAGAGAAGCCTCATGCCGAACTGATGCTTATATACATGAATCTAAACCCTAACTTCTCTCAGTTCGACAAGACACCTTCTGCATGCACATACTCAGAGAAGCCTCATGCCGAACTGATGCTTATATACATGAATCTAAACCCTAACTGTCCTCAGTTTCCCTTCTGTTACAGTACTGGACATGGCCAGACACGTGCCCCTGTACTGTGCCGTATTGGAAGTGCTGAGAGCACTATCCCAGAATCCCTTGCTGGTCCCTCTGCTGCTACCCCAAGATGACGATCACTCAGACCTGTCGTTGGTTGCTCTCTTGGAGAAAATGAAGTCTTGTGTGGATACGTACACCTCCAAACTCAAGTAAGGACAAAACAAAAAAATCAGCATGAGCTTGTCTCCAGGAGATGGTGTGATTTCTGTGCATGAATGAGCCTGCAGTGACAAGATCATCATGTTCCATTGCATTCTCATCCTCATATTCATTCCTGTGATGCACAGAAACTCCATCCATGTGCACATTCTGCTGAAAATAATCTATATATTGCACATCATTTGCACGCATGGACCATTCTCTGGCTTTCTTGGGGGTGCCCCATTTCAATTCTTGCCCGAATCTTATACACCATTTGGATTTTACTGACCGTTCAGCAATCTCGTCACGTGTATTAAAGCTAAATTCCCGAGGGCAAGAATAGTTCCTGACGATTCATAGTTTCAGGTTTAAATGGGCAGACAATTCCGCACTTTCAACTTTCGCAAATTCACAGCCCGAATATTTGATCCGGCGTCGCAATTTTGCATTCGCACTAGCTCTTGCACCAAGGACGAATTGGCCTTTGTGCATCATTTGCCTGTCTTTTATCACAAACAGATTGAACAAGGATCCTAAGCCTGCCCATCACGTCAAGCAGACTGGAGGACCAAGCACTGAGGAGGACTTAGAGGCCGAGGGACTGACGCTACTGGTGCCTCAGATACAGCACACCGTGGATGTCGTCAGGCAGGGGACCAGCAAGCTGATTGCAGACGCCATGGGTAGAATATCCATCTATGTTAGACAGTTAGGGGAAAACCTGACACTAAAAGAGCAAACCTTTGTCTGTCAGTTGGCGTGTATCTCTGAAATTTCCTCATGACCACAAATTTGCCCTGTAAGAGGAAATCTGTCACAAGGTCATCTGAGAGAAGGGGTACCCAACTTTTCAATTCAATATTTTACCATTTAAAAAAAAAGTGAATAATGCAGTGTCACTCAAGCAGTTGTCTGTTTGGCTACAAATTTCAGTCATATTCAGACCTCTGTCAAATCTGCAGGTGAGTTTAGTGGGTATCTGATACGGTTGGATTGACGGCGTTTCTTTGAAACCTTTCATATTTCCAGGTGATGATGAAGGTGGAAAGGGCAATAGGCCAAATGGCCGTAGTCTCAGCGAGATTGCCAAGCTCACCTTTGAGGAGAGATACACCACCATCATGAAGAAGCTTCAGTTTGGTAATGTCAACCTTTGCCCTCTCCTGTTCAGTTCTTTCCCTACCCAACAAGGGAAGCTCTGTGTTTATTTGGTTGCGTTATAGCACTGAAAAACAGGATAAACTATTGTCTGTCCTGAAGCCGGGCAAGTCAAAATGTTCATTCCCGAGTTCCATTCTACCAGTTATGACTTTGGTAAATCTCGTTTTCTTTTAGCTGCAACACATTTCAAAGATATCGTTCTAGGAGTCTACCACTTTGATTTTATACTCCAAAAACAGAACAATTATAAATGGTCTTTCATGGACACTGTCGGGATAAATTCTAAAATGTAGAGTTAGGTACTATCCAGAGCATCAATCCAGGTTTTGGCCTCGAAGCCTACGTCAACTTAATTTGAAATATTTATGCACATTGACACTTGCTTAAGGAAGGAGGATACATCACGACAATTAATTGACTTACAGTGCCAGGGAGGATATTATCTCTCATAAAGGACACATCTGCAGTCCGTGTTCTTGGTGACAGACTCAGGTCATAGCTTGTTCTCTTTTCCAGAGCCGGGTTTGGTCTTTGCTTATTGTAGACGCACGGGCATATACTAGGCAGTAGACCAAACTCCAGCTCTGGGAAACAGTTCCATACACGGACATCACTTGACACTCTGTGCCCAAACCCTGTGAGACTGGTCCGAAAAATACAGTGTTTTCTAGGGAAATGCTCGGATATTTTCCCAGTTAAATTTGACTTTTTAGGACATGATATCACTTTCTGATGGCTCGTAAACTACTGACCGCAAGGGAAAATTAGTGATGTCCATATGTGGAACTCTATACCAGTCCTGGAATCCTAGTACAGTGATTTCATCAGTGCCCTTTTGTGTGTGTTTGTGTCCAGATACTTTCCCAATGGTTGGAGAGGACGAGGACGGTAAGATCTACCTGAAGATTTCCCACCACTACGCCTCCAACATCAAATCCTATGGCAACGTGACTAATGCCTCCAGGGCCCGACGCTTAGCCCAGGAGGTTGTTACGCTGTCCACATCGCTACCTCTATCGGCCTGCTCTAGTGTCTTTGTCCGTTGTGATGAGGAGAGGCTAGATGTGATGAAGGTAAACCAGCATTTCCAGTTTCTAGTTTATACCCGTTCAAATGCAAAGATAAGGGTTCCCAGAAGTTTATGACTGTCTGTGACTGTATATGACTGTGTGTGACTGTCCAAGTTGTGATTTGTAGATCTGGGCTGCCATATTACTTAGGATCAGTATTCTCGTCAGAAAAGAAAGTAACACCCATGATGGACTAACAAAGAACAGAAGACTAGAATTTTCATCATGTTCTGCCTAGCATTAGTTTAACAAGAAATCAAAGATCTTTGGTTTCTGATCCAAGTATCAGTCTCTTTTGGGGCAAAGGGAGTGACTCCTGTCAACTTTGGCATCTTCCTCACCTAACAGTTTGATAAAATGGAGATTTTGATAAAAGCTTTTAGTGTTTAAAATAGTAAAGTATTTCCAGTGGTAGAGGGAAATTCAGTTCTACGGTAATCTTTATAGTATGATAGGAGAGCACACAAACCAGCAATGGGAAACTTGTAGTCTGGTCTAGACTGTAAGGAGGATTACATGAACTAACGATCATGTTTCACTTCAGCTGTTGGGCTAAACTGCCATTCCTAAATGTGAATGAATTCCTCAATGTGAACGGAGGCATGTTTTGGCATTTATGCAGTTCCCATCCCCCAAGAAGTGTCTGACATCACAGCATAAATCATCAAAACGTGGCATCAGTAACCTTCACCCAAAATTGTTACGTCTCAATGAATCCTAGATTAACAGTAGGCATGTGCCATCCTTGCCATCTTTATGTAGACCTGCCGAAAGGTTCGCAACGTGCAAGCTGTAGGAGCCTTGTTGTTTTCTCCTCTGAAAATCAGGTTTGGAGGCACTGGGGGTCAGGGTTTTCCGTAGCAAAAGAAGAGGAATAGTTACTTAAATCATCTGCAGAAAAAAAGAGGTTTACAAATTTTTTCTTACTACTTGGCTACGGCTAAGAATGGCATCTATGAAAGCCACAGGCTGGCAGCTACAGCCATTTCCCATAGACACGTATGCAGCTGTCAGCCACTGCCAGGTAATTCTCCCTCATTGCTAGACTGTGCCGTACTAGTCTACACATTGTGCAGAGTTCACGAATACCATGACTTGTATGCTCATCATTGGACAGGTGCTGATTACTGGTCCCTCGGACACCCCGTACTGCAACGGCTGCTTTGAGTTTGATGTATATTTCCCTGGGGACTATCCAAGCTCGCCCATGCTGGTCAACCTGGAGACAACGGGTCACCATGGGGTAAGGTTCAACCCCAATCTCTACAACGACGGCAAGGTGAGCCACAGAAGTCCGTTCATGATGTTGTCAGGTTCAGGTTCAGTTTAATGTACATACTATGAAGTAGTTGAATACAGATGGAGAAAAAGTGTTCATGGAACTTATTTTTAAGAGCATGGAGAGGCCAGACAGGAAGCCAAAGCTTGTATCTAGGGTTGCCCCTGTAAAGAGAGTACATTTAGTAACAGGTAAAGCCCTAATTTGTAAATGTCTGTGATGGAGTCCAACAAAATGAGTCTAAGTCCTCAGAGGCACTTTTGATTGAAGGGCCTTTTAAAGAGTTGTGTACAGTGGATGTTGGTAGGAACTCTTACTAGTTTTCACTCACTTAATGCCCGTGTCCATTAAAACAGTAAACTAAGGATGCGCTAAAGGACAGATCTTAGTTTAGTTTCTCTAATGCAAACTATGACAAATTATTGGGGAAAAAATGGCTACAAGATGTATTTTGCTTGAGCTGGTCACATGTTCCTACTGTGTGAGTTCAGCATGGATCGTCTGAAAGCTTGCAATGGTATCTCTCTTACCAGGATGACTGAAAAAAACATGAACAAGCTGATGAATTGGGATAGGTTTGATTCACAGGTCAGGGGTAATAACGCATCATCATGCTAGGTGGATGTGATCGTGTTTTTCTGTGATAGGTTTGTTTAAGTGTCCTCAACACTTGGCACGGCCGACCTGAGGAGAAGTGGAATGCCCAGACGTCCAGTTTCCTACAAGTCTTGGTCTCAATTCAGTCCCTCATCCTTGTGGCTGAGCCGTACTTCAACGAGCCAGGCTACGAACGGTCCCGTGGCACGCCCTCGGGCACACGGAGTTCCAAGGAGTACGACGCCAACATCATGCAGGCCACGGTTAAATGGGGCATGTTGGAGGTTCTACGGAACCCTTCACCAAGCTTCAAAGAGGTGAGCTTGCCTAGATCGCCCCCAACAAAGGAAAAGTCTGTACTCATTATTAAAAGTAAACATCATCTTCATTGGTCATGAGGGGGCCATCAGATGTAGGTATCGATGCCAAGTTACCTCTTGCAGACAATAATGGGTTTAAAGATCCAGTCTTGTAGTCAAGATCAACACAAGACCAGATCAAGACCAATCACAAGTAACCGTCCCACAATCTTTCATTGAGGTCCCAGAAGTATGCATGCTTATGGTTTCTTAGCATATTGGCATGCTCAGGACTTTCATAGAGCCTGTGAGGAATAGCTGAAGTTCTATGATTTTTCTGTGTGAAGTTTTAACCCTATCCTGCCGGGGAGCCCGTTTTCGGGTACCTTGGGTTGTACGTATAGCTGGGGTGTCTGAAATTGGACAGAAGAGCTGTGGGCCTTGTAACAAAAGACCGTACTTGGACCAAAAGACAGCTGCTAGGAATTGCCAACATTTTTTCAGTTGTCAATAACCGTGGAAATCCATCATTTTTTGGAAAGATTATACCACTGTTTGTGGCATTCAGCACGAGCTGGGCTCTTTTTACAAGGTGGCAGGCCTGGCTGAAATACTCCGGCTTCAATAGATGTTGTCTGTCAGATTAGGGTAGCCACCCGACAGTCACTCCATATTAGGTTTAGGTGTTCAGGAAAAAAGATATGAATTTTTGAAGATTTTCAAAAACCAAAGATGTTGAAAAATCGCCTGTATGTAGGCACTGCAATTTTAAAAGCACCCAGCAGGAATTGGTTAAGTTTTAGTTCAGTGGATTGGCATATTTTAATCTGGCAGACGTTTTTGCAACCAATGAAAGCGAAGCTTTCTCTGTTTGCATTGCAGGTGATCCACGCCCATTTCTTCTTAAAGCGGGCAGAGATAATGAGCCAGTGCGAGGATTGGATCAACCAGTTGGAGTTATTGTCCAATGACAAGAGAGTGGGGCACACGGTGGCCCATCACTGGGTGGCCCTCAAGGTAGGTAGACAGAGGAAGCATGGGTCGGTGCCTATGGCTTGTCAGACTGCATTTTGAAATATTCATCAGAGGCACAGTTGGAGCTCTG